ATAACTATTATGTGTGTGTTTGTTATTACCTATATGCCGAACAAACAAAAACATAAGATGTCACTAGTTAGTGTATGCTAAGAAAAAATACAAAACATTATCATATCATATACTGTACTATGTGAACTTACAACTGGCAGTTGGCTCCCCGATCCCTAGAACTTCCTAAGCCCTGAGCATGACACTGTCATTGGAGCTGTTGAACTCTGCACTTGATATGGGGGTCTCTTAAAAATGGTGGATCCACAAAATGATTGGTTTACAATAGAAAATCTGATTAAAATTTATGATTTAGGTCTTAGTGGGGTGGAATCACCTCCAAACACCTGATGGTCCGGGGGTAGCCCCTGACTAAACGGAAACCTCTATCATCCCACCGAGGCGCGGTTCATGAGCACCTGAAACTTGCGCTTCATGAGGGGCATATGGTGATAGAATGTGTAAGATATGCAACATATGTGTAAATGTGGAAGTAACATGGAACATTGCTGGAACATATTAGGGAAACCCATGGATACCCTCTTGAAAGAGTGGAGATGAATTGTTACATAGTATACGGTATGCGTGCGCGCGTGCACAAACATAGACAAAGCAAATGAGGGGAACACAATGTTGATGATCTAAAATATCATGATGCAGTCTTGAACAGAACAGGTTCAACCGTGGCTGCTTGACCAACCCCAACCGGAAATATGTGACCAGATGTGACCAGTATTGGTGGCTAATAACAAAGACTACCGCCATCAGTTTCTGAAGATTGCTTGAGAACGTGGTGCCCCCATAGTTGACGAAATTATTTTCAACTATATATATATATTTGTTACTACAGATATATCATATCTAGAGTCAGTTAATGTCAGTTATACAATGGGGGTTATAAACCAACTCCGGGGGGGGGGCACAACTGGATTGGCTCACCTTTGATGGCCCCCGGGGGAATTACTGAAGCCAAGTAATATCCGATGTGTGGCCAAAAAAACAGTGATGTTATCATATTTTATCATAGTTGATCATGTGCTATAGAATCCTATACATCCCGAAGCTTTACCCAGCTTTGCTGTATCAGAACTTCTCATAGTGACAAGGTGGAAAACATCAGCCCCAAGACTTGGCCACCAAGGGGCGATGATGGGATTCCCATCACCTTCCTTGATGGGGCCTTCCTCCATGATCCTCAGATGGGAAACCGTTTCACAGAGCGAACCATGGGCTTCTCCGACTTTCTGAATGTGCCCCCACCCCAGTCCAATCAATTTCGGCAAGATCCAAAAAATATAGTTAGTTGCCGTTTTGCTTTCTTCGAGTGGTCCCCACCAACTGATATTCTATCTGACACGTATTCTGGCATTATACCTGGCATCCTATTAACATATATTCTGGCAATCTATCTGGCATTCTATCTGACATATATTCCGGCATTCTATCTGGTATTCTTTCTGAAACACATATATATATATATTACTGTATAATATATATATATATATATATATAGCATAGGTATATATATATATATAGCATAGGTATATATATATATATATTATAGCGATGATAAATGTATGTATATATATATATACATATACATACATATATATATATATATATATTATACATATATATATATTATAATCTGACATTCTATCTGGCATCTGGCGCTCGCGGTTGAGGTCAGGCAGTGCCCACTGAGATCTGGCGCTCGCAGTTGAGGTCTGGCAGTGCTCACTGAGATCGGCGCTCGCAGTTGAGGGCGGGAGGTGGAGGACGAGGAGGAGGACGAGGAGGAGGACGACGAGGAGGCGGAGGAAGGTGCGCAGCATGCAGCTCTGATAAAATCGAGACACCTCACCTGGCAGGTGGGTAAAAAACACACACAAGAAATCACAATAAAATATCTAGTCTAAAGCTGAATCAATCATCCGCAAGCATCAAACTTGATACAATGTTCAATGTTCAATGATGATGATGATAGTCATCATCATCATCATCATCAGCAGCAGCAGCAGGATGGCGATCCAACCCCAGTTGGAAACAACCCTAGGGTGCTTAAATCCACTGACGGCGGTTGGCAAACACATTCCCGTTGCAATGCCGTTGTTTTTGCTCACGCCCAAGGTACGGCCCCGTGGAATATGTTTGTTTTGAGCATGGGTTGGGGTGGGGTGGGATGTTAACGTTCATGTTACGCTGATGATGTTCCGCTGCTCATGGGGTTGTGGTGGGGTGGGGTTGGATGTTAACGTTCATGTTACGCTGATGATGTTCCGCTGCTCGTGGAGGTTGGGGTGACGCAAACACGTTGAAGAAGCTGGCTGACTTGGCCTCCACGTGCTGAGACACAAAAAGTCCTTTTTTCAAACGCGTGTGTTGCACATGGATGCTAAACATGGGTAGAACTGCGAATTCATAGCCTCAAAGTCATGCAAATAAATACCATCGAAAATGGATGATGGTTTTTCAAAGAGAAAACAGAAACCCTGTAAAGGTTGTCGATTTTCTGCATGGACCATGTTGAGAACTCGCAAAAACAGCGGGACCGTAATTATGACGTGACCTTGTTTTTCTTGGAGACTTGACCGTGACTTGACCCATCCCCAAGAAGCTCAGTCCTACCCTGTAGGTTGTGCCAGGGATCTTGTCCTGAAGGTCGGCCTTCAAGTTTCTCAGCGCTTCCATCGCCTACGTCAAAGGTATCATGACGAAGAGGCTGCACAGCAGTGGCCCCCAAAGCGATGCTGATAGCAGTAGCTGTTGGATGCGGTTGCTTCTTGGCTTTTCCTTCCTGTGATCCATCACCTATCATCACCCGGCTTGCCAGGCCATACAAGAGATTACGTTTGTTGGTTTATGTTCACTCCATCAACTAGTTCCATATAGTTACCAGAAGCCCACAAAAGAAATTAATTGGGGCTATAAATAAACTTACCTATCATAAATCACTTAGAAATTTGTTCACTATCAACATCACCTATATTTTTTGCTGCTTCACCCACACCACAGCGCAGCGCCACGATGCGCCTGAGGAATCAGCTTACTTTGCTCCGCGAAGCGTCGCAAGCGAATCTCCCGCTCTGGCAGTTCCTCTGGCACCGGAGATCCTCGTCTCTCCTGTGACCGTGGTGCCATGGCGGTTGAGGTCTCACTGTGCCCCCCGGTGCCCCCTGGCAGAGCTAAGTTGGAACACGGCACACGGTGAATTCTCATAATTCTCATGGTAGAAAATGGTAGAAATATCGAAATTGTGATGTAGGGTTTACAATTTTACACACCATAACTTCTGTGGGAAATTGGGGATAAAATGGAATGGAATGGAGACAAAATAGGATATGACACAATACAACTAACCATCAACATATGATATTTCTGCGGACCTGGAAATTGGGTCTCAAACAACAAAAAATCAATGGGAAAATGAGGATGAACCGATGGATTTGGGCCCAATCTCAGGCAGCCAATTTGGCAAAACATGTCCTGTCCTGAATGTGCTTTTCCTTGGTCGACTTCTTTTCCTCTTTCCTTGGTTTTTCCAAGTTTACCGACTTATGTTCACCTGCAGCATCCGAAGAAATTGCACATGACCCCTACCCTCCATGCACGTTGGTCAAACTTCCAAACTATGGGTATGGGCTGACATTTTTCTATAGTAGGTACTGTATACTTGGAGGGTTACTATAGTAGACTCTTGCTTCGTTTCCATCTGTTTTATTGACAGTTTATTGATTGCCGCAGCTCCCCAACCAACACCATTGCAAAACAACCCCCTTATGGAGAACCCCTCACGCCCCCTGAATCAGCCGCCAAAATGTTTGTACCATCAGGCCATGAGGTAGCCAACTTGGCTCGTTCTCAAAGTGCAGTGGTTGGTATATAATATATATATATATATACATAAACCTTCAACTTTGGATATATATATATATATATATAATTATATAATTAGTGTTATTCTTTTGATTATGATGATTATTATTATTGTTAACAACAATAATAATAATTGTATATTAGTATTATTATTAAATCATTATATATAAATGTATATATATATATATATACATATATATATATATATTTGAGCTCCCGTTAAAATCCTTTATACATCTCAGTAGTTGCTACCATCAATGTTCGCTTCTTGGGAAGCCATATCGCTTTCCGGTGTTTGCTTTTGGGGGGGCTATCGCTTTACAGTGTTTCGTGCACATCTCTGACAAAAGTGCTTCTGCAATACTTCAGAGGTCTTCAACAATTTTTGACTGCAACCCATATCAACCTTCAACATCTTTCAATCATCATGCCCATAGTCTTTGTAGTTATCAAATGAAAAAACAACGAACACCCTACACCTTTTATAATGTCAACCCTGGATGAATAAACCCCAACAACTGTTTAATTTCTGTGCTACCAGTGCTATTTAAGTATCCGCTTATGACTACTTATGACTATTGGAGAGTACTCCCCTGATAAACCACTGTGTATTAATCCGTCCCCAGGCCGTAAACCTCGACAAGCATCTTGCCCTCTGAGTGGCTGGACTTTCGGCTGGCTGAGGCCTTGCGCCGACTGCGGCTGCGGCGGTTCTTCTTGCGGCGCTTGGAACGGCTCTTGGAGCGGCTGCGGCTGGGAGAGCGCTGGCTTTTCTTCTTCTTGCGCTTCCTAGGGCAGTTCCGGAACGTTAAATGCCGGAATTTCTAGAAGCAGGAAAAATGGGGGGTAGCACCACCATTCAATGATTGAATGATTGGTTGTTTTGCTAACCTCTTTTATAGCAGAAACGTATTCTCCTGACTCTGACAAATTTCAGGGGTCAGTTGGCTTCTGGTAGTTCAAAATCATGGTATGGTGCGTAGCTCTACTCTTGGACTATCCAGAATAAGTTACGCATCGGTGAACAAGCGGGTTGTATCTCAAAGATATCGTCCGAAGGGGAACAGTAGAAAATAGTACGGTGTAGCGCAGCAACGTCTTGTTGCCATGGTCCTTATCATTTTGGCATTTTTGAATTCTCACGTTTTAGTTTCAAATTGCAGGGTTGACTCCTATATCTAAACCTCCAACCAGGGGTTGGGCTTTTCATTCTTGGATGTTTCCGGAGATAGCGATACATGGGCAGTGCGGCTAAGTTCTCACAGTTCTCCCGGCATCTCAAGGGCAGGATGATTTTTTTGAAAGGTAGTTTTGGGCTTTACACTTGGAGGGGTGAACATCCAAACAAGAAACATTCATTCATGTGTTGGTTCTAGTTAAGGCCCTTTACCAGTTATACATGGTTGTACATGGTCATATTTTTTCTAATGGGGTTATAACCCCATTTACAACTGCTAAAAGGACATAACCGTAACATGTTCCCTTCTGGTCTAGCGCGGCCTGGCAATGGAACAGGGCTAGTTTGTAGATGATTTGCCTATTCACAATGGTGGTGTTACATAGCTATGGGAGATTGCCAAAAGGTATGTTGTTTGTTTGATTTACCGGAGGATTGGTTTGTGGACATTGATCACCATAGTCAAGTCACCATGCCGGTTTCTGAGCGGTGTGTTTTCAAGGCATTCGCCCAATGGATGGTGATTTTTCTTTCTTTCCAACTCTCGGTTTTCAATTAGTTGTTGCAACCATCCGTAATACCCATTGGACCAGTTGGTCCTACTAACCATTGGTTAGTGGGGATTCCCAGCATGGATTATGATAATCCCCAATAATATACATCGATCTGGATAAATTAAAATATTTTACTAACCTGAATTAAGGCCATTTGGGGGTGATTTCCATTAACCATGATGCCAGGGCTCGGTCGCAGTGAGGTCGTTATAATTTACCCAGATCGATGTAAGACGGTCGTAATCTACCAACCGGGTTTTTGCAGATGCTGATTTGGAAATTGGATGCAAATGTAATGAAAGTTACCCAGCAAACATTGGCACAATCCCATCATATCCCATACCCCTCGTACTAAACCACCACTAGGGTTTGTGATATCCCTAACCTCTGCCAAGATTCTCTCTCTCCTTGTCTTTTTTGTCTTTTCTTTCACTGCGACCTCTTGATTTGTCCTTTTTCTTCTTTCGCTTCACCTGCGGATGTGCGCATTCAGAAAGGGTCGGGTGTCTGCAGAAAGTGCATATCTACTTCAAAATTGCAACGTTAATGGAGAACACTGTTATACTCCATCACAATCCATCACGTTATTTTCAGACAAACTCAACTACACGTTTGATAAATGAACGAGCATGTACCACGTACCCTTTTGTAGCTTAGCATATAGTCATGGAAAAACACAATGTTTATATAATAGCCATGCAAAACATGCCAAAATTCGCCAGTTTCGCAAACTGCTACATTACTGCAGAGCACATCAACGATGGCTTTTCAGATTGAAAATGTATTGAACTGTCAGCATTGATTCTCTGGGTCTTCAACGAACTGTCCAAATGGTGAGGAACTGTCCCCACTTGCTGCTCTTACATTCGAACCCAGACTGATCCTGAGACATATCTGTGTGGTGCAGTTGTGACAGACAAAATCTACACTTATTATACTGTCTATACGTCTATATCCGTAAAACCGCATATATATATATATTTATTTAAACTTTTTATCTATACTATACAACCACCTTGAACTATATATATATATGTATACAATCATGCATGCATATATGTAAATGTATATATATATGTAACCATAGAATATATAACAATAAAATATATAACCATATAATATATAACAATAGAATATATTAGCATATAATATATGACCATATTATATATAACAATTTTATATGTAACCATATATATATATATATATATTTATTAATAACCAAATTATATATAACAATCTTAAATAAAACCATATCAAATATAACCATAATCTATATAACCATATATATATATATAAACATATATTATATAACCGAATATATATATAACCATATATATATATACGTATATAAAAAACCCATATATATATATATATATGTAACCATGTATATATATATATACATATTGTATGTATAAGTAAATATTCTTTATTTATGAATGTATATATATATACACATACACCTTCTTGTGTGTACGTATAAATATATATATATACACAGTATCCCGATTCAAACCTATATGGATGGTATTGTTTCCGAAGTCCGCCTCGGAAGAAGACCTGGACTCGGAAACCGCGCGTTTGCGTTCTCGGTCTTCCTCCTCCAGGCGGAAGGGCGCGCAAGGACGACTGATTGGTGGTTGAGCTAACCATCCCAAAGTGATGCATCGTTAAAAATTAAATTACCGTAATTAACAACATATTCAAGATCACAAGCCAGATTCTTAGTGGAGAGATTATAATGCCTTGGATTTACACCAATCCCTATCTATGCATTTGGTTTCCACACTCTGGTGAATATTCCAGCTACGATCCGATATATACATATAATTAGCATCCCGTTTCTCTGCAGTGTCCCTCTCCTTGTTTTTCTTGTGCTTTTTCTTTTTCACTTCCTTCTCTTCTTTCTCATCATCTGTTTCTTTCTCCTGATCAGAGCAAGTGAATAGTCAGCGGCCGTAAACAGCGGAAACCTCACAGATTTGCGTCGATTATGACAGGCATCACCGCGTCACACTGTTCTCCCAATCTCAGGAGCAGTTCCAGCCAATCTCCATGAGCAACAAAGTACGTACTCTGGTCTTGTTCTGTGTTCAAATCTCATGCGTACCAACACAAGTTCTACAAGGTCCCCTTGACATCTACAACCCAAATGATTGCATCCCCCAAAGGCTAGATTCGGCTAGATTCGGTTAGATTCATGAGCAATTGAATCCCAAAGTGTTTGGTCCATCACCTGCTGTTCGAGGCCTGTACTGTAACCCTTTGTTTGTTGTTTCTGCTCCAGTGCCAGAACACCCAAAAGCATTGATATGTTGGGTTCATCGTTCCAAACAGAACATGAAGACCAGTAGCCAAAGAAACTACTCCTGCTAGATTTTGCGGGCAGTATTAGTAGATATTAATTAATAGATATTAATAGATATTAATAGTATTATATCATGTTCGATCCTAATCGATATAAATCCCATCCCCCAAGTCTCTACAGTGGAATATCCTCATGCCTGCTGTTGAAATATCCACATCCTCCACATCCTGTGGTGTTGGTTGAAAAATAGTTACACAACATTCATCATATAAACGCAAAAAACTATAGAACCACCCTTGGCTGACAGACCTATATTGGGGTAAAAGGGACAGTGCCAAAAACCTTGTCATGCCCAAACCGAAATAACATGTAGTAATTTGTAATAACCCCGAAAAAATCAGCCAGTAGAACTCCATACGATCATCAACTATCATGTTTTGTGTTTGTTTTCTCCACTGTTGAACTTGTTGGTTTGTTGAAGGTTGTTGATCCGTTGCTCAAATTGTGACTGTGAAGTTGGCCCATGTATATACACCAAACAAAACCCAATATCAACTTATGACTACACAAACTATGTAGCAATCTCAATTTTGTGGTGTATAGTATAGTCAAATCTTAGTGGGTTAAAGTGATGCAAATGATGTTAAATCTGAATCTGTTGGTCACAAAAGGGAAATCCCTACGACGATTGCACGTTTTAGGATCTCCTCTTTCTTTGGACTTGCTGCTTGCGCAGCTTGCGCTTTTGCTTTGGCTTTAGCTTTCGGCGCAGCACCCTTCGATGCAGCCTGACATTTTTTGGGGACAATGGGGCAGGCCTCCGCAAGTGGGTTCTTGCTGCAACTGACAAGTCTGGCGACCCTTTACAGACGCTGAATTCATGTACCATAAGAGTTGGTTCGCTGTCACAACATGTTGGTACTTTTACCATCTTTTACCCACATTCATGGTGCTTGATAACTGTGTATGTGGTCACCAGTGTTTGGAAACCACGCTTTGGACTTGTCTTCCCTTCGACGTATTTGAAGTAGCTTATATGGGAATTTCTTAACATGTGGAATCCCCAAAACCCATGGTTTTCACTACTGAAACTGTCTAATTACAGTATGTCTACTCATGGATGATTTGGTTTAATTATCTACCTCTTTTAGGAAACTGCAATGTATATAGGTGAAAACTGGCGACACATGGGTGCCGTTCGCTGTCTTACAACATATATTTATCACTCTTACAACACCATTCCCACTTTGTCACTAGTTGCTGCTTCCAATAGCCAGCATTACTGCTGGTTGGACCCACGACATGCCAATCACAATATATGATATAAACAAATATAATACAATAAAAATATATCATAATATAATGTATTACATAAATAATATATGAAAATTTTATATAATATAACAAACATTAACAAACTATTATAAATATATTATGTTAAAATGCAAAACACATTAATATCATATATGTTTTTATATATAAACAAATGATATAATATCAACAAAAATAAAACAATAGAATATAAGAAACACTTATATAATATGAACATAAAAAATAACAATCACATTCAAATATAATAAAAGAAACTATAATATTAGATAATAGGATGCAATATGATATAATAACATACACACATGATTTAATATAATAATTGTGGTGAAAATATCATGTAATATAATATATATAGTTTAACTTTAAAAAAAAACTGTTAAATGTAGTATTAAAGACTTGCATCATAACATGAAATAAACAAATATGAAATAACCTAGCATAATCAAATACAATACATTAAGACAACATTTAAACATTTTAAAACAACAAGCAACATGTAATATAATATTGTATGAACATACCATATAGATATAATAAAACAAAATAAAAAAATATGAATGCAAATAACATTAAACATGTTTATACAATATGATAAATAATAATGATATATAGAATGTGGTAAAGTACTATACAATATATTAAAATATATTAATATATATATATATTTATTTAATAAACTATAATGCAAGATATAATTAAATCAAAATAATAAAACATTTAACAAATATATATATATATTTAATAAAAAAATGATACTATACAATTAAAAAATAATGTTAAAAATAGTTTTTTAAATATATAATTACAATATAATTATAATACAATCTAATATAGTTTAATAGATATATACAAATAAATAAATACAATACATAACAATATCATATCATATCCGTGGGGTTATCTGCCAAGTACGGCATGGCTCGACTGCCTTGGCATCCTTCTGCTGCTTCTTCCGCACGCTCTCCGAGACACTTTCACTCTCGCTGGCCGCCTCGACAGCTTCGAGAATCTGGGAGATGTCCAAAAAGGGAACACGTAGAGACTCGAGACTCTTAAGACATGCAGTTAGATCATATTATCACGATGACATATATCAGAGCGACCACTATCCACTAAACAAAGAATGGATTGAATCTGAATAGAATCGATCCTGGTACTAGTACAGTATAGTTGTGAATGGTAACCCAACCTGAACTGATGCGATTTTCAGGTCGATAATCTTATTGCAATGTCTTCCATGGGGCCATCGTAGTTGTGGCAGGCAAAAGGATTGATTTGTCATAAGGCATATTACATCATATAACCTGAATTCCACTTTCATTACGAGTATTGAGTAATTAATTGAATGCTACTATCATGTGAGCCTGGATAATGCTCATCCAATACTGTATGAGTAATAATGGATGTTTCATAGTAACATGCAATAGTTGCATTTGGATATGTATTGGGCAATACCCTCTGGTAAACTAACATAACTATGGAAAATCACCATCTTTAATAGCCAAATAAACTATTTCTATGGGCCATTTTCGATAGCTACGTTAAATTCACCATGGCATCCCGTCACGCCTCGGGCTCGCTGGGAATCTCCGGTGCTGGCACGGTGAAGGGATCGAAGGTCCACTCTTTGACGCGCCAGCGCAGCTGCTTTCCGTCCTGGGTGGAAAAACTATGGAATAACTCTGGGATTTCATTTTTTTTATATTTGTTTAAATGCGATTTGTTTAAGTTCAAGTTATGTTACTAAAATATACTAAAATTACATCTCCGGGGCGAAGTTTGATTCGTTAACCTCAAACCTTCGGCTCTGGTATAATGATTCTAATCATAACCATCACCCCATGTCGGCCGGTGACGTCAGGTCACTATTATCTCAGTAGCCTCGACCCTCCACTGCCGAGGAAAAATGGTCGTTCTAAGAAGATATGTCAAACAAACCAAAAAATGATTCATTGTGTTCCAAACATGTATGTTTCTGGGAAAATCTCAGCACTACAGCTGGGTACACAAACCGTGATGATTTTTGGAACAAAAACAAATCCAAAAACTACCTGAAACAATGAGATTTCAGGATTTGCTGTTTTTTTTGTAGGTTTTTGCGTTTTTTTTTTGCGCGGTTTTCTCCATAGTCGTTTGATGCGCTGCAAACATTTTTTGGCCTTTGTCTCACCAAGCCCAAAAACATCCCGTCGCGCCGATTACCGTCCGGCGTTTTCCATAAAATCAGGATGGCGTTGTGGCAATTTAGCATTTTTTCTATCAAAAAGTGATTCCAAAAAAAGATCGGGTTTTGTAATGTTTTGTATGTGTTTGCAACCCTTCTAGCATTTTGTGCCTCAAAACGATGCGGATCCGCCTAGCCCTTTTTCTTCCTTCTCATAGTTTGCTGAGGCTAAGTCCTGTCTTTTGCAGCAAGGCAGTGGAATCGTTCTCCCACCTCCAGTGGGTAGAACGAACATACTGCCACAGAGCTGGGTTCGCTCGACTATTGATCTGAGATCTCAGGGAGTCCGGAACCCCTTTCTTCAAGAGAATCCACAAGGAGTCAATGCCTCCAGTGTGGATTCTGATATAGCCACCCCTTGCCACCCCACCCCACCCGGTTCCCCAAGAAAATCACACCATCCTTCGTGCAATACTTCTAACTGACGTGCAAAACTTCTAACTGACGTGCAATACTTCTAACTAACAGGCAATACTTCTAACTGACGGGCAATACTTCTAACTGACGTGCAATACTTCTGACATACGTGCAATACTTCTAACTGACGGGCAATACTTCTATATAACTGACGTGCAATACTTCTAACATACGTGCAATACTTCTAACTGACGCGCAATGCGACAACAAAAAAACAGCAAAACCTGCGGGTCCGTTAACAGCGCCGGTAGCACAAACATGGTGCAAGTTCCAACGAACGTGAATGTGCCCCACCCCACCCCAACCCCCCCACACATCACACTTCAAACACATCAAACAACGGGATCAACATTGAGTTTGCAAGACATGATGAGATGATGTTATCTGACGCAACAACATGTCACTTTTGTGGGACGGTAAATAGCGCGGCAGCAAAAACATGCAATGAAAGTCCTACAATCTAAGACCAAATTAGTATCTAGGTGTTTGGGGTAAAATCAGTCGAAAAAAGGCAAATTCCGAAAAAAAAAAAACTACATGTTTGTAGGATTTGGAGGGTCGAGGAGAATTAACCTGCTTGGTGCGTGGGGCTGGTGTTTACATGGGCAGAACGTAGAGTGCCATGGTTCAAACAGACATGACGGACAGGTTACCGATCTAGACGCAAGATGAGTGACTTGGACTTCCTAAGCGTCCCTTTATGCCAGCCACTTCTTTCAACACATTGGAGCAAAATTCAGCAATTTTGAACATGTTTGGATATATGTGAGGGAATTGCATCAAATTCAAGCAATTTTGAGCAACTTTGAGCGGATTGCTTTGCATTTTTGTGCAGATATTGTTTCAGTGTGTTTATTGTTTTGATTATCTCAGCTTTGTCCTTTGTTTGTTTTGGTGCTCATATTTTACTGTTGTTGTCTGTTAGATTTACTTTCCTTTGTAACCTTAGATTTCAAGACAGGACATCCGATGAATCCAGACAAACGATCTGTCAATGGTCAATGGGGGAAAACTGTAAAAAAGTTTGAACCAACCATTTTATGATATCGATATGTAAAAGGCGTGAGCCTACCACTTTAGGGTTTTTAGGATATGGTTGGGATACCTTTGAGATTTTGGGGGGATGTAACCGATTATGGGACTGAAAATCATTTGGTGCTTTACCTATTTAATGAAGATGAGACTTGCCAGGGAAAGGGGATTATAAAGTTGACTTGTGAAAGGTATTCATCGGTGGGTTGGTAATCAGCTAGATTAATTGGAGTTCATTTCATAGACATGACATATATATATATATACATATATATATATATACATATATATATACATATATATACATATATATTATATATATAATATGTATCTATAGTTGGATGGGTAAAACTTAACCAACAACCACACATAATTTGCGGGCTCCTTGCCGCCAAAATTTAAACAATATAATTGGGAACATGTCGGAATGTAATATACCAATAGTCGCTAGGGGGATTAATAACGTAACCAGGTCGGTGACCCCAACATTTTATTGGGTTCTTGGGCTTGTTAACCACCAACAACTACGCAGGTTAAATCAGGGCAAACAATCTACTGGAATAATATGGAATAATGATGAATACAATTAGATATGGGAATCTGTTGTGAACTATATTGTGGTATATTATTTAATGAAGTTATTATTATGATTCCATAATATTGTTGGTTGTGGTATTTTTAAATCTATTTTGAACTATTTTGGTCTGATGCGGGCGAATTGTCAACATTGTTCCCGGCTACTGTCAATATAGCCCACCTCAGTCACAAGAAATCGCGTAGCAACACACGGCTACTGAACATTGAGATCCGGCTAGGTCTCCCATTTGATAAACCATTTTCATCTCCTGGGCGCGGTGCCTTGGACAAGTCACTACATCCCACATCGCTACCCACAATTCCCATGCCCAAATTACCATGGAAATTACGCATCCTGAGTGTTCATTCCGGTAAAATCCCATTGCATCCCCAAAAAAACATCAAAGTACGCATCAGCTGGGGGTTTTTTAAGTCATGGGGGATCCCCAAGTTACCAAGGGTTTCCATACTAATTGAAATGTTTACTAAAATCTTCTAATCACTGCAGGTACTCCTCATGAGTTACGACACCTCCGCTGAAAAAAAGCAGAACTTCGCCAAGTGTCCGGCTCTTGGTGTATCACCACCCCATCCTCCAGCTGCAGTTCCACCGCACCTGCGGTCGGCCCCCCGGCCTCCGCCGGCCGAGCGTCTAGCAGGAGCCGACCGGCGCCCTGGGCACAGGGGAAACGCGTTGAAGATCTGCTGAAAAAAGGGAAAAACAGGGAGAAAGTGAAGAATGAACCATGAGTCATGAGTCATGAGATTCAATGGAATTATAATTACATTAAAAAACACTTGAACTTGAATATACCATGTTCATGAATTAAAGAAGCAACATGTGGCATACCATATCGCATACCATGGCAACGTGGTACCGGAGTTAGCACGTCCAATTTGGGACAGAAGCATTTGAGCGGTCAAATTCAAGATATGGTAATCCATTGACTGCACATACAATGTAATACAGTAGGTGTAAAAAGCGTCTTTTTGTACATATCTTTGTGGAATTCGCATGCAAAATGGGGATTGGTCGCTGCGCAATGGAGCCTCCCACGTACTGCGACGTGCACGAAGCAAACCTGGTTGTTCCACTTCGCCTGAGTCCCGGTCAATGTGAGGGGTGTTGCAAGGCACCGGTGACATGAGGTGTTTTATCTTGTTTGTTTATCCTTGTCTCTTCAAATTGAACCCGATCCGATTATAAAAATTATGCACAAAACATCCTCGGGTCAGGAATCTCACACCAACAATGATATATATATATATATACCAGTAGTAGGTGTTGTTGTTGTTGCTGCTGATGTTGATGTTGATGTTGATGTTGATGTTGATGTTGATGTTGTTGTTGTTGTGGTTGTTGTTGTTGTTGTGAATCACACGCGCATGCATATTATGTATAATATATATATATCATGATCAAATGTCCTGTGATCAGATCCAATGTTTATCCTTTCTGGATGTTATTTCGAATCAAACAGCATGATGAGGATGATATTCGAGCCCCCTATTCAAAGGTTAACATCAACCATTAAGACAACATGGACAAGAATACAGGTTGCATTTGGCTCGAGAACTTTGCAAACATGGGGAGAGCCTCAACAGGAGAGATTTCAGGGTCTGATCCGGTGGAGCATAAACTTGTGGATGTCATGGGATATACATAATGTTTTTTAACATGGTTCAAGGGTACAGGCTGGTACAGGAGTCGTCACCCCAAGGAAAAGAAGATGGTACCTTTGTCATTGCACAAAAGCCAGCGCCTCATGCAAAACAGCAGTGGAATCAAGGAATTGTTCTACCATGCAGAGACCTTCACTGTCACTTGAATGCAACACAATCAAATATATAATAATAATCATCATCATCATCATAATCATCATCATCATCATCACCATTTAAAAAAATAATAATAGTAATAATAATAATAATATATATATATATGTATAAACAATATGAAGATTATAAATATATATACTGACATATGCATGTTAGTAATCTGTTTCCCTTGAATTGTTTCCCCCGGGTGGAAAAAACATCCCGTCATCGGCTGAGCATGGCTGATCAGCCATCGGCAACCATATCTGGTTGGTAGTTGACCTACGCCTCTGAAAAATATGAGTTCGTCACTTGGGATGATGAAATTCCCGATATATGGAAAAGTAAAAAAATGTTCCAAACCACCAACCAGATATCAACTGTTGGATTTGGGAATACCTCACGTATATTTTCATCATGTTTAGACAAGTGCCATGTCAAGAAACACCGGGGGGAGAACTTCCAAGTGGCCAACCAGCACCTCGAATTTCCGCAGTTCATTCTGCACCTCTGCTGTCCGGTCAAAGTTACATGATATCTTCCCACTTAGCAAAGGAAAAGTCATGTAAAGAGCAAAACACTACCAATCAGTGATAAATATATCTTCAGCTGGATTTTCATGAATAAGAAGTAATATATATATATATATATGCATGTATATATGCATATAATTGTTTGATTACTTCTTGATGGCTGCAAATCAGGGCACAGCATCCTGACTCTGGAAATGCTCCAGCTGTGTGAGCGAACGACAACCTCAGGGCATCTTGGGTGCTTAATCTGACAATCACCCACTTGTGTTTAACAAACATTACATGAAGTTGTCTGCCGCTGCGGCGGGCATGTCGAAACCAATGTGCAGGCACGTGTATTTATATATATATGTATATATTTATATATATATACAATATTTCAAATTGTATTTATATTTATATGTCACTTTAACCAATAGAAACAAACAAAGACCTCTTGTATAAAGAGTCTGATGAGGAAACATGTGCATATCAACTGTCCGAACTGTGCAGGGTCAGAGAGTCAGACTTCATCCGATTCAGCGACTTGGCCATGCTATGGAAATTCCTTGCGAATGCCCCACTTACTTGGGCACTCAACAAAAATGTGGGGATGAATAGGAAGAAACCTTGGATATTTGCGATTTTGTATGCGATCAAATTAAATTTCAATTTGGAGAAACCGCCAACTTGAGATGTTTTTCCTCCCCAGCAGTTGTTTTACACTTTCAGGTTAGCTTGCCAGATGGTACTCACCTTCCGAATGAGCACACCAATATAGGCTAGTTGTCTTTTTCATTTCCATGGTGGTTTGCCAAATGCTACTCACATTGCCTAATCTGAATCTGTTTGTGTCACGTTGTTTAGCTTAAATTGTCCTAGATCTATCTTCAGAGGCATTTTAGATATGGTAGAATTAGATGTGGTAGATCATAGTCGACTGGTATTCCAAAATATGTTCCCTCATTCTAGCAAGGTCTCAAAATGGGGTACCCCCAACTCCACTGATTTTTCCTCAGTTGCCCCATTAAAATGGCCATATACTGGGACACCCATCATGGTATTAAGTTGCTTATATATCTCATGAAAATCCACTAACATCTATTCATTTCAATTCTATACACATCGCCTCATGAATCCCGTTAATGTAACATCCAACAGCACATGATTCTTCATGTGTATCCCATTATATAATCTGCATGAGCATCTCCATTCTTGAACCCATGCCGCTTCAACAGCCTCAATCCCCCGCATTTTCTCCGCTGGAAGCAAGCCACAGTGCGAGCCCAAAAGACTTTGACTCTTAGGCACCTACAGTACAAGCATGTTGTTCCCATTCTTGGCGACGAGATTGAGGGAATGCATAATATGTATATATATATATATACATATAGGAACATGTATGTATGCGTACAAACGACAAGTATAGTAAAAAAAAAAGGTATATAAAGAGTCAATGTAAAGTACAATATAAGTATGATACTATACGCATATATATATATATATATGTACCATTGGATATTCTCACTATCCCCTGGATGATGGTATGGAATGTTATATCCTATCTGTATTGACTGCTTGCTTCCAATCTTACTTGAACTTTCCTAGGAGCTTACCGCCACAGTTTGTTTGGTCAATTAACGTTAACTGGATATAATTAGCAACAAATTACATATACAGTACATAGTATGGCGTCAAATAGCGTCAAATTAGCTTGAAAAAGCCTCAAATTACTTCACTTCGAATGATCCCCACCATGACATTTATACATATTCTTACTGGCAAATCTTCTGGCATTCTATCTGACACATCTTCTGGCATTCTATCTGGCATTCTATCTGGCATATCTTCTGGCATATGTTCTGGCATATCTTCTGGCATTCTATCTGGCAAATCTTCTGGCATTCTATCTGGCATATCTTCTGGCATTCTATCTGACATTTTATTTGGCATATCTTCTGACATTTTTCTGGCATTCTATCTGGAAAATCTTCTGGCATTCTATCTGGCATATCTTCTGGCATTCTATCTGACATTTTATCTGGCATATCTTCTGACATTTTTTTCTGGCATTCTATCTGGCATATCTTCTGACATTCTATCTGACATATCTTCTGACATTCTTTCTGACATCCTTTCTGGCATTCTATCTGGCATATCTTCTGGCATTTTATCTGACATCTTTTCTCACATTCTTCCCGTTGAGGTCCGGCAGTGCCCACTGCGATCTGGAAGTCGCGGTTGAGGTCCGGCAGTGCCCACTGCGATCTGGAAGTCGCGGTTGAGGTCCGGCAGCGCCCACTGCGATCTGGAAGTCGCGGTTGAGGTCCGGCAGTGCCCATTGGGATCTGGAGCTCGCGGTTGAGGTCCGGCAGTGCCCACTGGGATCTGGAGCTCGCGGTTGAGGTCCGGCAGTGCCCACTGGGATCTGGAGCTCGCAGTGGAGGGCCGGCCGTGCCCACTGGGATCTGGACTGCGAGGAGGAGGCGGAGGCGGAGGAGGAGGAGGAGGAGGAGAACAGCTCTGATAAAATCAAACAACCCTCACCTGGCAGGTGGGGAATAAGGCTAACTATATAGCGTCAATTACGAGTAGCGTCAAAATAGCACCGGCAAGCCAAGAAATTCAACTGAATGCTATTCACAAACTGGGGTCTGCCCGGTTCCAAATATCTTTCTTTGTTTTATGCCTGTATCGTATATCTCCGTAATACCAGCTTGCTTGGATATATTTATATTATCACTGTTGAACATTACATACATTTTTTTGAATCTTGCACATGCATTGTTTTCGATCGAAACACATGATGTATACAATTCCTGAGATGTTGCTGATGATTCCTCCAATGTTATTATATATATATATCTGGGTTATGCTTGAAAAAATCGGTTGGTTTGGTCTACAAAGCCTTACTAAGCTCACTGAATATTTCACGTAAGCAACCGACACTTACTACTTTTGACTGTAGATGGGTACCACACACAGGATGGCTTACTTCTTATATGGATCCGTCAACGAACTTGTCAATTTGTAGGTCTGACAATTGCAATGGTTGAGTTGAGATAATCATTTTCCCTTGGTAATGTCCAAACCTATATGATCATTGTTTCTGAAAACAGACTTCCAACCACCACAGCATTCTCAGACTGCAATTGTCGGATATTCTCCGACAAAAAAACGGATTGGAGAAGCCCCCAGATTCATCAATGGAAACTGGTCAATTGTTTAAAAATCAAAGAATCTGTCTAAATAATGATTTAATGGAGTCCTGGAGGATGATGGATACCCCAAAAATTACAGTTTTCTCATGAGAAATGCTGATCACCCACGGGGCTGTGGAGACCATTTATTTCTGGACAAATCCTCACGTAGACCGTCAAACTCATAGAATTTCAGAATGGACGTTGCTGCATGCTTAGATAACCTGAACTCCACAACCATCTCTGGTTTTATGGTTAGGATCACCTCAACCATTGCCAACCATTCATGTTATGGATGATATGTTTGATCCCAACTCACCCTGAACTGAACCAGCTTGCGGTCCCAAGTCACACCGATGATCCGCAGGAAAATGTTTCCGGCAAAAATCCAGAGCCCTGGAAGGGCTACAATTCTTGGATTTCTTGGTCAATGAGGATAGATGAACTTCAGAGCCCAGTCCCAGGAAATAGTTTATTGCCATAGAATGACGCTAACCGCAACTTTTCCAGGCCCACGGACGACTCGCTGCATCTCAAACTGCACGCCCTTCTAGATTTCTTGGATACACAAAGACTCGAATCAAACCTAAGCAGAATTGAATCAACATGTGGATGTGTCTGAGTCTGAACATGGGATAGCCATGGATAGCCTTCATTGATTGCTATTTTATAAATAAGGAAAACATAGATTTTTAGAAAGAAAATTCTGATTAACCAACGGATTTTGGGTACCCTGTCATGAACACCTGGGGGAACCATGCTATCACGTCCGGAAACTCGAAAACCCACAGCTTAAGGGCCACCAGCCGGGGCCCCAAGGGCCTGCCAGATCCTCTGAGTCCAGTTCCAGTGCAGAGATGCTGCCGATGCTTCCGCCCACGGCGTTCAGCAACTTGGACCAGGTCTCCATTTCCCCTGAGGGCGAAAATGTATCCTCTACAGCCTCTACTACTCAAACGTGGCTGGAAAATCCCCTACCAGTGGAGGTTTGAATGGGGAAAAATCAATAAATGTGATATTTATTTTCCCTCGCCATGTTTGATTACCAAAGGGACCTTTGAAAATCTGCAAAAAGGTGCAAGGACGTGGACGTGGCATATTTTTCAGCAACATATCCATGCCTTGCATGAAAAGGTAACACATTTGATTCAGTCCTTGACATTGGTATGATGCTTTACCCAGAGCAAAAACGCAACAAACACGACCTACCTTTTTGTGCTGGGAAAAGACATGCCACAGTCTACAGTGTACAGTCATATGTTTTTCGATAGAAAATGAGTGGCTTCACCAAGAGTCTACCAAAAAATGAAACATATACGTGGTTAGAGGGTTTATTCATGAGATGAATGGAATGCAATTTAATTAAATGCGACAAAGAAACACAGATTGAATTTCAGAGCTGGCTCTCAAAAACACCCTGACATACATAGCATATTAATAGCTAAAATCCCAGTTCAAATCACGTGCGCAACAAGTCTAGAAGTCTAGAACTTTGCGTTGGCGGTTTCGGCTGCAGGGTTGAGCTTGGCCAACGCAATGTCTTTTTCCTCCAACATCATCCTAGACCCTCCAGTACCTAGAACAATGGGGTAACAAATGCCCATTGTAACTTTGGAGGTTCAGCAGTTGCAATCATATGGGTACTTGGGGGGTATGAGTTGATAGGGTTGTCCTTGTCATCCTCAAAAACTCTTTGAATAATTGTGACGTTCAGAATCCGCGCGCGGGATCTTTAAACCTGCGTTCACATGCGGAAACCAAGGAACTCCAAAGAATCACATCTGGTATCGTCTATAGTCAAAGCCTTTTCGGGATCGCCATCACAAGTGATCACATTTAGAAAAGGATTTAATCCCTGGTTGATGAATTATGGTGGTTCCCCCAAACAGTGATAAATGGCTACTGAAATGGTACCCCCCAATTAAACAGCCGTTTGGGGTTTATTCATCCGGGGTTGACATGATAAAATTTATACCATGCCCTGATGCTAAAGTGCTAAAGAAACCACCAGTGATGATCCAACATTCTCACGCACACCTTGGGTGCTCAAGGTCTCTTCCTTTAGCGTTGAGCCATCTTCACCTCGAAATGGACCCAATCCGTGACTCGGTCAATAGGAATCATCCCAGCCAGGATGGAACATATCAACTCGCTACCAAACAAAATGACACCACCAAGCAGTCCTGGACCTTACACAAAAAGTCACAAAATTAAGGAATGAATTTAAGGCAGACTGCAGATCCTTGAGTTGGTGACTCAGCTCTGCCAACATGGCATTCGTGGTGATATTTTGTGGCCCAGAATCACAGAATGCTTCAACTCAAGCCCTGCAAACGATCCATCTGAAAAGAACATGAACTATGCATAATTGGATTCAAAGTGATTCATTCTGACTCCGGAAAAAATAAAAACAACATATACTCCTCATGCTGTTGATGACAGAGGATAGTCACATGCCGCAAGAACCAGTAGCAATGGAAGTCGGAAACAAACTCAATTAGCAAACCATTTCAAGCAACTTTAAGTGCACAATTGTAAACACAACCTCGTACTCATACTATTTTGGCTGTATACTTACACTCCACATTTGTGTGAGCATCTCTGTTTAAAAAAAACTCGCTTCAATCCAAATCTGATTTACTTGTTACAAAACTCAAACAACATCAATATTTCATGGCTTTTCTTTGTCTCCAAATCTCTGTCCCAATGATGTTTCTCCTAGGCACATCTTGGAAACCCACCGTGTAAAGGGGTCCCCTACTTATGGAGGATCATCCCACGGATCACAAGTAGTTTTCTAAGCCTGGATACAAAGTCCCCTAAGTGGGTTATCCCATGTAAAGGTATATATATATATTATATATATAAATATATATATATATAATTATAAATATATATATATATATATATATATATAATATATATATATATATATATAAATATAAATGTACTATATAGGTTATAGTTTTTTTTAAAAAAAAAAATATATATATATATCCATATACTAAATGTTGCTCCGCAGGTCCTACTATCCCACCTCATTATACTATGTTTTCTAGCTTTCCCCACCATGGGTTAGTTCATAATCCCGATTAAACCAGGTATTAAAATCCTTTATAATATCCACTCAACTATGGATTTTTAAACAAACATCCGCAAAGTGAGTTCTCCCACACATTGTTTATACTAATGATGACATTAACCAACAGCTCTAAATGTTTCACTAACCACATTAAAAATCCGTGGGACGACCGTGGTCATCCCAAACCCCTCCCATGCCTTCAGTGAAGCGCAGGAAGGGTGTTGGAGACCCCTTCGAGACCTGGAAGTCGACTCGGGGCTCACGCCAAGCGCGCGCGCCCGACCTGGGAGGACTCAGATTACCTATAGACCCAGTATCTGAGAAAGATTTGGCAATGTAGCGAAATATCAAAACATGTTGAAAACATAAACTGGTCATATATAGCCTATAGATGCCTATAGCCTATAGTTGTTCATTGTGCGTTTTGTAGCCATGAAATCAATTGAACGAATGGCTACTTGGAGGGTCTGGTTACGAAATCTGAGGGTATTTTGGCGTCGATCCCAGGCTCGATGGGATGATTGGTTCACTACAGGCAGTGATACGGTGGATGGAAGAAATCTTGCGACTTGGATGGTTGAAACCCTATGAATCTTAGGATAAACCACCTATCAACTGGTGCCAGATTTCGCAACCATCCAAAGTATGTAGCCAGCAAGTGAGATCAACAGCCAATGGACAGATATGAATCATGTCATTCATGATTTTCGCAAAAGAATGCGAATGGAGGGAACGGACCCACAACCACCACATCCTGCAACAAAAACGCCTCTGACAGGTTCACCCGTCCTGCGTGCTGATCAACCATTGGGCATGGTTATCAAACAGCAAGCAGCGAGATCGCATCACTAAAATGTGTCATTCCCAACATATGTTTCCATGTGTTCAATGCATCTACAGGAGTCCGAAAAAAAGAGAAATCAAAACAAAACACAAGATGCTAGAACGATGGAACAATCTTACAAATTTCAAAGTGTTCTATCTATTGGGAAGATGTTGTATAGATCGCTCTTCCACCTTGGAACCCTGCTCCCGGTCAACTGATGGCTATGGCGCAAGCATGGGGTACCAATGTACCCACAAAAATCCGGTACTTCATTTGACCATCCCAAATTTCAGGCCAATCATTCGGAGCCATACCCATATACCAATAGGTGAATTGTGCCCATACACAATTGCTGTATATTGCTGTACTGTAACTTCCTTACATCTGGGAATGTCAGTGTAATCCCCACTCAAGGTACCGGCTGTTGACAATGTTCCACATGTTTGAAGGTCAAACTAGATAAAACGCCATATCAGCAAATGTTTGAATATTCATGTCGTTCACTGCACTAAACAAAGGCAAAGGCAAGAACATCTAGCTAACAAGGAAAAGACTACCAATTACAATGCGGGATCTATATATACTATAAAATACGAGTCATCATCTCAATTTGTGGTTCCTTACTGGTTTGAATAGAATACCCATACTTACCAGTGGTACATCATATTATTCTTCTTACAGAAGTATGGTTCCAAGACGTTACAAGTTACAATATGCCCAATATCCACAATTGTGGTTTGATAACTTCGAAGAGGCCTTTACCCTCTGGTAAACTACAATAACTATGGAAAATCACCATTTTTAATAGGCAAACCATCTATAAATGGGCCATTTCCCATGGCTATGTTTAAAAACCAAAGGGTAAGTAGCCTTTTCTGGTTGATTGGAGAGAGACTGATCCATCCGCAGCATCCCATAGGAGCTCAGCTGGGTGTGGAAGTCTGAGGTCACCTGCAGCTCAAATCTACAAGAACACATGGGCTTTACGATTTGATCTGGCACGGTTGGGGATTCCGATACGATACCCTCCAGTAATCAGTCAATGGATTGGTTTAAGGGAAAATTTACAGGAATACCCCATTTTTAATGGTAAAAACAATGGTTTCCTGCAGATTTTCCCTCAACCCAATGACTGAATTCAAAAAATCAAACATGGGATATCAACATTTGAACCAAAGCCACGTAACCTTAAAAGTCCCATCGTTTACCGTCATCTTTCCCCATGACAATGACACTAGTTTGAGTCTACACAACGCTTGGGACAAACTCATTTGGGTATGATTTTGGATGGGTCAAAATTGGGTATTCCCAAATTATCAACGGGTTAATGCAAACACAACATGAAACATAACGAAGCACATCAGCCTTCCCCGAACCTAAAAAACAAAAAGGGGTTCCCTAAAATGGTGGACCCCAAATCATCTAGTTCATATGTCATCAATGTTGGTAAAAAAAAAATAACATTGAAACACCTCAAATTGTGAACCAACATGTAATTTTTGTTTGGTGCTTTCACCCCGCTAAAAAAAGGCTGCTCAGTTTGGGTCATCATCCCATTATGGGCTTGAACATAGCACACCTTTGAAACCGCCAACTGGACGTCTAACGGGGAAAGCCCCAGTTTATAACCACCATTCACTGGTTTGACACACACACAAACAACTGTATATCAATAATATTTATATAAATAAGTTGATTTGTAAACCCCAGACCCCGGTAACTATAGTTGTAAGTATTATGAAAACCACAGTAACTATGCTTATAAGTGAAAAATCGGGAAGAAAATAGTAGTTATGTACAGTAATTAGAATTATATAGTTATCCAATTAGTGATAAGTGGCTCACAAACCCTAGTGAAATATATATGACATAAACCAACTTAGCATGTCAGACAGCTCCAACTTGCTGCACCTCGTGCCGTTCCAGGCTGCGCACCTCACAGTAGATGCCACACTTGGCCTGTTGGTTTGGAGTGGGGAGGTTTCTATGAGTTGCAATGATTTTGTGACATAATATATCTATATAATTATATAAACAGTTCATATCTTATGGGGATACCAGTAAATACAGTAATAAATTGCATATATACATATATATATATAATACATGATTATATATATACATGATTATATCATATACATGGCTTTGCCCGGACCCGCACTGACGACAGGCGACGCATCATCATCATCATCATCATCGTCATCATCATCATCACCATCATTAGAATTCAACCCTTATTGAAGATCTTCAATGAATGTAGAAGTTTAACGGGGGTAGAAGAATTGAACCCTTATTGAAGATCTGCAATGAATGTAGAAGTTTAACGGGGGTGGGAGAATTGAACCCCTATAGAAGATCTTCAATGAATGTAGAAGTTTAACGGGGGTGGGAGCATTAAACCCTTATTGAAGATCTTCAATGAATGTAGAAGTTTAACGGGGGTGGGAGCATTAAACCCTTTTTGAAGATCTTCAATGAATGTACAGTTTAACGGGGGTGGGAGTTTAATATTACCTAGTACCTTTGTTGATCTTCCCAATTGAATGTGAAGTTTAACGGCGGTGGGAATTTAATATGCCCTAGTACCTTTGTTGATCTTCCCAGTTTAATGTAAAGTTTAACGGGGGCGGGAGTTTAATATTCCCTATTACCTTTGTTGTTTTTCCCACAGGAATTTAAGATTTAACGGGGGTGAGAGTTTAATATTCCCTAGTACCTTTGTTGATCTTCCCAATTGAATGTAAAGTTTAACTGGGGTGGGAGTTTAATATTCCCTAGTACCTGTGTTGTTTTTCCCATAGGAATTTAAGGTTTAAACGGGGGTGGGAGTCTAATATTCCGTAGAACCTTTGTTGTTTTTCCCATAGGAATTATGTGAAGTTGCATCAACATTTGTTTGGGAATGGGAAACCTCTACGCTGCAACACCTGGGCAAAGCCACACGTGGATTTTCTTAGAGGTCACAGTGTTACAACCTGGAGATCTGTCGTTTTTTTTTCCCGCGGAACCTGCCTGGATCCGCAGGGTGCACTGGAAGAGATCGCCTGGGGTCCAACGGCTAGCTTCAGCCACTTTGCCATGACAAAATCCATATATATATATATATATGTATATAACATGTTTTGTGACTTACATTTATAAGGCATTACATTGATAATATTTGGGGTACCCAGGTCATAATATGTTTGATTGTCATTTATTATTTATGTGCGCAATATCTATATATATATATATAATCATATGATACATAATCATATTATATAATCATAAAGATGTTCAGTTGTCTCATGTTTCTCTCTTTCGCAAAGAGAGCAAGGGAAAGGTTCCAAGTTCTAATCTTCATTCTATAGCCTGATGGAGAATGGAGGAGAAACTATGAGCTGGATCAGTTGGATCGATTGTGGTCTCTCTGGAAAACCGACTGAAGTTGCATCCAATTGCAAACATACAAACATAGTGGCTATCACACTACCAAACAAATATGCACCTGGCAGGTTTTTCACATGGCCTGGAGATCAAAACCTGATCATGTATCTGTCAGAAGTTTCGGGACTCCTTTGCCGTTACCTGGTCAACTACCTCCAAACACCTAACACATGCCAGCTGGGGATAAGCAAAAGAGTTGTCAACCCAAGCTGGTCTGGAGCCAGTAACCTCAAGAAATGGATGTGGCCGAAAAATGGAGTGTGATGGACATCCTTCAAACAACTCTGTTTATTCCCTGGTGTGTTTGATTTAGTTAACGCCAGAAATAGCCGCTGTGCACCCCAAACTGGTTACTTTTGTTGCGCCTTGAAATGCCTGCGAAGTGAATAGCATACCTATGAAACCCATCTGTTAAATCCGGAGTGCAGCAACCCAAAAAATGCATATTTGAAGAATAAACTAAAAAAATAGTCGTAAATTGAACCTTTTCTTAATCTATATTGAAAGTTGCTTTAAACTAAGTGTAAGTGTGACAACTACCAAGGGTTCAACAATCCACAGGGGCTGGATGCCCAAGTGACCTTTCTGGCAATCCTTTGTCGTCCCCGCACTATGACGCTGGAGCAACTTCCACGCACCCACCTGAAGAATGAGCTTATTCTGGAAAGGAGACGGTTGAGAAAATTCAATACATATGAATATCTGAGTAATGAAATGAATATATCTCTTGGAAAAGTGTTCACGTGTTCCCAACAGCCATTGCAAAGATACATATCTTATCCAAGTGGAATGAGCTAAGGGAACAACCAAAAACGCTGGATGGTCCCAACGCCGGGTGACTATGAAGGAAAATTACCATGGCTGTAATGAAGTGGAATGGGCAAGATGTAGAATTGACTTCAGCATTGCAATCCCCCAGAATCTGTATATATTGGGGTGAGAAGCGTATCAGTATGTATCAGTATACTTTGTGCAAGTGGACCAATTTGTTGTCAAGCCGATTGGTGCTAGGGAAATTTTAAGACAACTCTGTTTGAAGTTAAACTTTGTGTGACTTTGGAGCGGTGATTTGTCAATTTTCTCGCACATCACCAGTTACCTGGGGTGTTAAATCTGCACTGCTGCTTCAATATGCTTAAATCATTTTTTTTGCTGAAAGCCCCGGTTTGGTTTGCCAAATGGCCAGCTTTTCTGGGGAACACCCAAATCACCGGAGGCAGAACCTGCCAGTCAGGAACTTCAGTAGGGGTGTCTGGGATCGGAATGGCACTGACTACACCTCAGTGGCTGAATTGTTTTCCTTTTTTTCTTGAGAAACAACAGGAAATCTGGAGGACTTGGAGAATATTTAGTAAATAAGTGACGTACCTGTAAGTACGACTCAGATCGCAAATCGCTGGACTCTTGTTTGGAGGCTTTCAGAAAAAGACCGGGAAGCGAGAGAAAGGAAGACCAACAGAAAAAGCAAACATAGTAGGTCCTGTATGCATTGAACATTTTGGGGTACTAACGGGACTTAAAATTGCTTGACCTTCAGGATCTTCTAGTTTCAGTTGTCAGTTCCATATACCATCTGGTTTTCAAACATGGCAGTGGAACATCACACATTTACAGATGAGTTTCCTATTGAATCGTTGAAACGTATGATTTTAAAGATTTCTCATTAATGCCATGTTCGACTACGGGTGTTTGAACCTCAAGAATCTTTCAGCTTCAGCCCAATGAGTAGAAAAAACCTCTCCTGCCATGCGGTCCCTTCAGCTTGCATCCCCTGTCACCGGCCAGGTGACGTCTGGCAGGCGAAACCATATGGCCACATTGCACCAACGCAGTTACCTGCGGATCTGCTGTGTTGGCCCGGGGTATCCAGGGCTGAAAAATCCTCCGTCCACATAACAAGGTGCTTTACCCCAGTCATCTTTGGTAATGCCATGCACTTACACTGGTTACCAACCATCCGACAGGGCGCTGAAACTTGCACGTGCTCCCTGCTCATGAGCAAATAGCTCCTGTGGGGGCCAGGTACCCCAGTGATGGGGTCGTGTCCGTTCTATACCATGATTTTGCATGTGCCAAAAAAAACTATTTCAACATCAGTTTTTGGTGCGTTACTTTGAGTGTCTTGGACTCTATTTATTTGCCTAGGCATCAAGTAATTAATTAATTTATATATATATATACATTTGCAGATCGCATATGAACCGCCTGGAATTCAAAAGTTACGTCGAGGTGGACCACCAGCACTTTGGTCACACGGGGCTCGAAAAGATAGCTTCATGTTAAAAGGGATAGGGGCGATCGATCGCTTTCAAGCCACAAACAAACAATATTATATATATATATATATACAGTATGATTCGGTAAGTCTTGGAAAATTCAAGGAACGGTCAAACACAAAATCAAAAAAACATCTCTCCAAAGTCTCGAAAAAATATCAAACAACTCTAACAAATCTAACAGCCCTCCAACTGAAGAGCTCCTGGAGTCTATGGGCACTAAGGTGCCTTGGCATGAAGATCCAGGGAGATAAAGCAACACATCTGCCACTTGTGATAGACCCTCCATGCCAAAACAGGTGGTCATATTGCGGCAAGAAAATCCCAGATGTTTCTGGAATCAATGGAGTCTTTGATTCGTTGGATTGGTTTTGTTGGGAAAATCAAAAAACCGGAAACCATGGTAAAATTACCATTAAACCATTTAATGTGGGGATTTCCGGCCAAAATTGTCCCATAAAGCAATCCAATGATTTATAGAGTTTGATGTCTTACAGTAGTTCTCAAAGAACTTGGTAGGGTCGCCATATTCTCAGCGCTGAATTCGGAGATCGATGGATCCCATGTCGACAAGTTTCGACAATACCCCAGGAAACACAGATGGCAACCAGGCTTCCCAAAGAAAGATTATTTAAAGCAACTAAAAACAAAGAAAAAACATACTTCATAAACGAAGTACAGAAACTATACTGGCAAAGGACTTTTCGATCTTTGGGGCTACTATATTAGATTTATACAGTACTTGATTTGTGAACAATATTCACGTGCCAAATGTATCTTCTTGAGAGTCACAGTTGGACGAATCGCTAACCTCATCCCAGACGGGAATTGTCCTCGCCTTTGTTGATGGACTAAGCCACCACTGTAACTCGTTGAAATATGTTGAAATAGAAATCTTTAGGTCTCCATTTTTAGATTATGAAATCAGGTACCCTCTGGTTATGACTAACATAGCCATGGTATAGATGGCCCATGAAAATAGATGGTTTACCGAACTTAAAAATGGTGGACCTTTCCATGGCGAACTGTTAAATAGCCAGATGGTAAATCAGTGAAATCCATATTGTTAATGGATACCTTTCCCCATCCAATGGCTTTTTTTAATGGCCCAGTGGCGCGGCTCAACCCCTGCTTGCACCAGTTGATCGCAGAGAGCGCTCAGCTCACGCAGTGGTAAGCGTGGATCTCCCGTCAAGCGTCGGACTCCTGTTTTTGTTGATATGTTGGGGAAAGTAAGCCAAACATCTCGAAAAAAAACAGAACAAAACACATAAAATGATATAAAATGTTGTTGATTTGGGAATCCTCACAGATAAAAGCTGATTGTTTGGTGTGTTTTGGTAGATTACTGGATCAAACCATGACCGATTCTTCTTTGAAGACTTTACGCGCCCCCAATACAGCCAACATGGTAGACCATCCGGCAATTCAATACAGCTATGTAACATGAACATAGTTGGTTAATCTAGCAAAAACTGGTGATTCTCATAAGATTAACCAACTATCGTAAATCAATCCATGTTAGTTTAATCTAACATGGTGTCTCATAGTTGTCCTTTGATGTTAGTTAATCTAGGTAAAACATAGTTGGTAGACCATCTCCATGTTAGTTTACCGGTAGATCAAAGCACGACAATACAATGGCCATCACTGAGACCAGGAGACTGAAGGCCATCCAACGTCTTTGGAGCACTTCTGGCTTGATCTGGGCCTGGATCTGACCATCGCAATTGAAAATTCCCCACGTATAGAATTTAAAGATAGCGGTCCCATTAACAAAAAAACATTTATTTTCTAGCGGATGTCCAATTGCCATGTTTGATTTCCAAAGGGTAACTTTCAAATATACTGGATAGTGTAGCAACATGTTGGTTTAGTCCATCTTGAGGGATGCGATGAGGAAAAGGAATATGAGGCTTTCCCGAAATAAGACCCCCAAAACATCCATGTCAACTGTCAACGGTGTTTTTTTCCATCATAAACTTCACCATCCATGTTGGGGTACCATCATTTATGGAAATCCCCATAAACCACTGGACTCGATACATATAATGTTGCTACTCGACAGCGAGATGTTGGTAGATTTCAACTCAACGGGTTAACAGCAGGCTGTTGCAATAGTTGATGGCCCTCGGTCAATCATAAAAAAGTTCAGTCAATTATTCCGAGCGTAGGCAACCCAAAGTGGAATCGTGATCGCTTAAATAGTTCCTGCCAACCAGCTCGTCCAAGCATGGTATAAGTACCAAGTACCCTGGTTTCAACGACAAAAAAACTCTGGGAACCTGATGTTGCTTCATCACCCCATCCATGTATCCAATGTATTACAAGGTTAGTGGATAAGAGCTGAACCGAGAAACAAATTTTCCCAAGATCTCCGCTGCACTGAGCCAGTTACTCGAGCTCACAACTCAGAAATAAACCGTAACCTGGAATGCTAGGCCATTGTGACCCAAACCTAGAAATCTTTCTACTGACGTTGCAGTGAGGTCACCCTCATTTATCCATAAATCAATAAACCGTATATATATATATATATCTCTCTCTATCTATCTATATATACAAATAATGATAAATATAAATATATATATATACACACAGTGTTGGTTGGGTTCAAAATTGGGTGTCCCAAAACCCTATGGTTGATCATAATTTTACCATTTGGAGGATACTGCTGAAAACCCCATTTTCAGACAGCCCAAGAAAAAGGTTTCCTGAAATGGTAGTACCCCTAAACCATCCATCTCAATGAGTTTTCCCATTAAACACTTATGAGCCAACCGTTTTGCGGATCCCTCCTTTATGGAAACCCCCGATGCACAACTGGACTGTTGCCTCTTCAGCCACTCGCGCATCCACGATCACCGACGTGCTGGGCGCTACTGGTGTCTTCACCACGGCTACAAACTGACCTCATGCACGGATAGTCGTGGTTTATAACATGGAGGGTGAAATGGTGGTTGACATAATTTCAGTACATACATTTAATTGGGGTATCCAATTTTGACTTATATAGCCATATATTACATACACATACATATATATATATAAATATTATATGGGGGGTTCCTAAGTCATGGGGGTACCCCAATAGCTGGATGATGGATTTGACGGAAAATCCTCCTCAAGTGGATGATTTGGGGTTCGCCCCAATGAAAGGTTGATTTTGTTTAAACATTCTTTGGACATGCACAATACATGTTGGGAACCAAAAAGGTTGGTTGGCCCAACCGCAATATGGGTTCAGGAATTTTAGGGGAATTGAAGTGATCTATGGGATTTATTTGAGTCAAGGTCTACCTAGCACCTAGCATGGGTCATGAGTGGTGTTATAGAAACCAAACGGGCAATATGGGAAAACGCGTGGAAAATGAACAAATAGGATGGGCCACCAAAAAAAAAGGAATCTAAATGCATGTATCATGTGTGTGTGCCATTCTATCCTTGGATAATTGTATGCAGTATGCATGTGTATAGAATTTGACAAGTGCAACAATGACAGACTCCACAAAAATACATCGCCAAAACTCCGGACATAAACAACTCCAAGGCGCTCTCCGCAATGGCCTTTCCAATCCAGGCACCGCAGTTGGCATTGCCAATGACCACCAGATCCTGTGCTTCGGCTTCCAGGATCAGTGGCTCCAGCTCCGTCGCCTCCTTCGCCGCCGGCGTCTCCTTGGGCCGCGGTGCGGGGGACGCCGGGGACGCCGTGGTCACCGCCAGCTGCGCTGCCAGCTGCTCCGCCAGCGCCGCCGCGCGCGCCGAGGCAGCGGCCACGGTCACCGGCGCTGCCGGTTGCGGCGCCGGGGTCGGCGCGGCGTCGGAGTCCTCCGAGCCGCTGGAGTCGCTGGACTCGTCCACGTCTTCGGGGCGGGGCGGCGGCATGGCCGTTTTTTTGAACAGCTGCAGAGGACCAAGTCATGAAAGACATCATGGAGAAGGGGACGAAGTCAAACTTGGGAACCAATATCTATTGCAGCCATTGAACATGTTCAATATATATATATATATATTCCATATTATATATATATGTAACATTGTGTAACATGTGCAACAATCATATAGTATAGGTAAATAATTAGATAGGGTAAGACCAGAACAGATAAGATAGGGTAAAATAAATTATTATTAGATTAATTAGATTAGATTAGATCAGGTAGGTAGATCTATTTACATGCACAATTGTTTGATGTAATGTATATGTAAATGCTATGTTTATATCATATGTAACTATATGTGATTTGTATGCTACATAGAGAGAGGGAGAGAGGAAACAAAACAACTATGTAGGCTATGATGTGTATCTGAAAAATATGTTCATTGTATTGGTTTGAAACATTATATGCATATCCAGAGTATTAACTAAACCTAACCATATATGGTTACTATATCTGGTATACGTACCAGGCATTATGTAGAACTATAATGTGTACATTGCACGTAAAATAGAAATATATATATATATAATTTACCAGACAGTCAAACAGTTACAGTATTTACAAAGAAACACACCTACAAAAATAAAACAGACATAATGCAAAATAAAAACGTAATATAATGCATATGGCATATGTATTATGCTATTGTGCACCACAACCTACATACATAAAATTAGATATGCAATAATATATATACATATATATATATATATATTGACAAACATAACCCATCATTCATGAAACTATTTCATGCAAAAAAAACTGATGAGTTTGTACGTAAAAAACTGAACCAAACATGTGTTACCTACATATAATATTAAAAATTACTTTACTTCGTGTGATCCCCACCATGACATTTATACATTTTGTTACTGGCAAATCTTCTGGCATTCTATCTGACATATTTTCTGGCATTCGATCTGGCATTCTATCTGGCATATCTTCTGGCATTCTATCTGGCATATCTTCTGGCAGATGTTCTGGCATATCTTCTGGCAGATGTTCTGGCATATCTTCTGGCATATCTTCTGGCATATGTTCTGGCATATCTTCTGGCATTCCATCTGGCATTCTATCTGGCATATCTTCTGGCATATTATCTGGCAAATCTTCTGGCATTCCATCTGGCATTCTATCTAGCATATCTTCTGGCATATTATCTGGCAAATCTGCTGGCATTCTATCTGGCAAACATTCTGGCACTTTATCTGGCATATCTTCTGGCATTCTAGCTGACATTCTATCTGGCATTCTATCTGGCATACCTTCTGGCATTCTATCTGGCATATCTTCTAACATTCTATCTGGCATATCTTCTGGCACTCTATGTGGCATATCTTTTGGCGTGGATACTCGCGGTTGAGGTCCGGCAGGGAACACTTGGCGTGGATACTCGCGGTTGAGGTCCGGCAGGGAACACTGGGCGTGGATGGTCGTGGTTGAGGTACTCGCGGTTGAGGTCCGGCAGGGAACACTGGGCGTGGATGGTCGTGGTTGAGGTCCGGCAGGGAACACTGGGCGTGGATGGTCGTGGTGGAGGTCCGACAGAGAACACTGTGGATCGCGAGTCGCAGTTGAGCAGGAGGACGAGGAGGACAACGAGAGGAGGAGGAGGAGGAGGACGAGGAGGAGGAGGAGGAGGAGGAGGACGAGGAGGACCAGGCAACTGACATAAAATCTAACAACCCTCACCTGGCAGGTGGGGAATAACAGAATTGAAATCATACATTGATTATTTGAAAGTGAAATAAATTAGAACTCACCGCGTTTATACTGATGTATGTGTAAATATATATATATATATCAATTTACAAATAAACTAATAAAGATGAACCTGCAAACACGGAAGCCAAATCACGGCATCCAATGGTTGGGACATCCAAATCCACGTTATCAGCTTGCAGTAGTATGGCAAGGAATTGACGAATGTGGATGATTTATCATCATGAATCCCAGAACTGATTTGCTCATCACTGTTGTCTCAAACATAGTGGATGCCCTAAAGTGACCAATCTGATACCGAAAATGAAACTAATGTTCCAAAATGCAACACCATGCACAACCGAACAACAGATTCGTTTAGCATGCGGTGGGCTGCCGAGAATCACCCGGCAAAGCTTCCCTTGGCAGGGGAAGCTGCAAGACCTTCTGATCTGGCGCCGTTAACCTGGCGTGTTCAAAAGGATTTTGCTGTCGAAGAAACGCATCTGGATCATCCTCCCCCATGTTCAACCCCAGAGATGGGATTGAAATCTTTACTTTCGATTCCTTTTCAGTACCCAAAGATTTTAAGACCTCCCATGGATTCAAATCCCGGGATTGACATATTTTTGGGGACAACTCCACATAGCTACAGTAATTGTCCATGTGCTGAGCTTTGTTGGACCTGGAGGTGTACATGTGGAGAGTGAACATTTGAGACACGAGGATGGGATCTTTGAGTTGTGAAAAACTCAAAACTGGACTCGTATCCATGAGGGTATGGGCGAACGTGTCCCGGCAAGGATCCCTCAAACAATGGGCACGAGCAGTCATTTGCATGATGTGAGGACGCCCTAGTAGAAACTCTGTGTAATTCTGGATGGACTATCTCCCAAAGAATGCCAATATTGCTTGTCAAATTCGAGAAAATAACACGGAGTTCCAACGAGTCATTTATACAGATACGCCCACTTGAGTCTGATTAATTTCAGGGCAGAATCCTGAGGTTTTGCTACCAGCGATCATTCACTCATCGCTACATAACACCATTTGTTGTTTGAAACCAGAGGGTGTGGGTCAAAATTACTGACATAGGTGTGCCCGAGCATTCTGAGGTATGTCCATGGATTCATAGAGACCCAGATTCAAATCTGAAACAAAACAATAAAGCACGTGTAAGTTGACCTGAGCATAGGAATTTCAGTTCCCCTATGATTTATCATCATTTTTATGGATCCCGTTTACACTTACCCCCTGGCAAAATAACATTGACAAAAACAAAATAGAAATTTATTTTTTTTGTCCCTGTTAACTGAAGGGTGAAACGGTGCGGGATGGTCCAAGTTAACCTCAAAAATCACGATTTTGGCAATTTCAGAGCTTAACATGGAACTTGTCACTTTTTACGCGGTATTTACACGGTTTTGAGGTTTTTACCCTTTAACATGGAACATTAAAAGAAAATCTATGTTGAAAGCCAGGTTTGAAATGGTCCATGTTAACCAAAGCAAAATATGCATCTTGTGGTGGTTTGGACATTTAACATCGAACATTCACGAGAGGCCAGGGATAACCAATAATTTGCAACCAGTTATTTGGACATTTAACATGGTCCATGACAAACAAACAAAAAGATGCAGTATTTTGCAAGTTTTGGTGATTTGGACCATTTGACATGGAACCTTCCAGGGATGACCAATTCTTGTTAACATGGCACATTAGATTTTTTCACATGATGATTCTGGCGTTGTTAACATGGAACCTTACTTTTTTTCATCATTTTGATGCAAAACCACCCTAAATTTCCCCTGGTAATCCCGTGAACTTTGAGCCCTGTCAACAGTACAGAGGTACCCGTGCATTAGAAATATTAGAAAAAATCGGCTTGCAGGTACATGCATTTTGTCATTTTGGGGCAATCCACTTGACTTTCCCAACATGTGAACCTTAAATCTTAACATAGGAAAAAAAAAGTCCCCATGGGGTGGACATTTTCTTCCATGTTAAGATAAAACACTGCTCCGCAGGTGCCATGTTAAGAAAGGTTTTTTTTGCGTTTTAGGTAACATGTTATTTTGCAAGGGTGTAAGGGTTTCACCCCGCAACAATCACAAATTACAGTATATATTTTGTTGGTGACGATTTATGATTGGAATCCCTGACGATAGTCTTAATTTGTTTAAAAACATGACTTGGTTATTCGGGGAAACATTGAATACAAATTCTTGGTTATATTATGTTATATTTCAATTTGACTGTAATATCACCACCGTTTTAATGGAGGGGTGGTAAGAAGTAAACAACGTCAAAAAGTGATGGGCCACCCCCCCCCCCTCCAGAAATATTTCTCGGCAAAGTTGTGGCATCCGGAGGGCCTACCCACCCCTCTTATATAGAAACACAAAAAACATGTGGTGGGTAATAGTTCATGTGGTCAGGTGAAAAAAACTCATCTTTTTTGCCTAACCCCCCCCACATTCCAGGGCAAAAAGGGGGTGGGCATTTTAACGAAATGTAAAATGTTTGATAGGTTTTGACTTGATTATTGAGGGAAAACTTTGATAGGTTTTGACTTGATTATTGAGGGAAAACTTCGAAAACCAATTCATGGACATATCTTAAATAGATTTTGAAAAGTGGTTTCATCGAGTTTTAAATGGACTTATTCAATTCAAATTTCATTTCTATGTTTTGATTGTCAGGGGAAGACTTCTCACCCCAATACTGAATACCCCCTAAAACTGAATAACAAATATTCCAGGCATTGATTTTTTGAAGGGGAAACCCCTTTTAGTATTGGGGGGAGAGGGTTAAATGTCATACTTTATCTTTGATTGCTCCATCTCGGAATACGAAGAAACATTCCTCGAGGCCATGGTATCCTGCCAGAAGGTTTTTACACACCGAAAACCTTAATTTACCTGTATATATATATATATATGTACATACAATATATGTATGGATATGCAGGGTAGCATATACCGAAAATTACAGACTAAATGCCAACTCTTTACTTAAACAAAATGTCCCAGGTACATGGCTGGGGCTAAGCCAATCTCCTGGCTATCTCACCAAAAGGAACATACCAAGGCTTGAATCTGGCTGATGAGCCTTGGCAGAGCCGCCCAAATTTTCCTTTGGGTTTCTTCGTGGTGGAATCCCCATCTTGAAAAAAACAAAAACACATGGTTTACCATCACCTACTTTTCTCCATTAATATTTTGTTTAGGGGTATAGGTACTGTGA